AGTGGGAGGAGGGGGAGGATCAGAAAAAATAACTAATGAGTACTAGGTTCAATACGTGAGTGATGAAATAATATGCACAATCCCCCCGCCCCATGACCCATGTTTACCTTTGTAACAAACATGTACATATACCCCTGAATTTAAATAAAAAAAAAAAAAAGAAAAAAAAAAAGACATGGCTTGGTGCTGGGGCTCACATCTGTAATCCCAGCCATATAGAAGGAAGAGGTGGAAGGGTCACTTGAGATCAGGCTGGGAAGCACAGAGACCCCATCTCTACTCAAAAGAAAAAAAAAAGAAAGAAAGAAAAAAGAAGAGAAAACTTAAAAGAAAAAATAGCAGCATATGGTGGCTTGTGCCTGTGGTCCTAGCTACTCTGGAAGCTGAGGTAGGAGGAATATTTGAGCCCTGGAGTTCAGGGTTGTTGCAGTGAACTATGATCGTGTCACTGCACGCCAGTCTGGGCAACAGAGCAAGGACTGTCTCAAAAATAAAGAAAAAATTTAAAATTAAAACAAAACCTATAGGTAAATAAGAATCTCTGTTTTTCTCCAATTTTACTTTCCAAAACTCCTTTGAAAAAGAAAATGAGAACTCTGACCCAACTTGCTTTAGTTCAGCATTCTAACAAACAACCAGTGTTACTACTCACCTTACATCATGTTTTTAACTGAATTGAGAACTAATCTGTTATTAGAATTAGACCACAAAGGACAAAATCACTGAAGACCTTCTTAGCACAATGTCAGCCCCTCACCATCAGTGACTCATTCATTTGTACTTAGCTTTCTGAGCATATCAACTCATTTTTTCCACTAGGCACTGCATTTCTTCAGAGCTCTACTTCTCAAATCATGACAGCAATAAAAATTCTGTCATCAACCCTGAACAAACACTACTGTATAAAAGCATCCACTGTCTAGTGCATAAAACTCATTCCTTTTTTAAAAATAGTATTTTATTTTTGGCATCCCTTGTTGCTGACTACATTGAACTGGTTGGCTCAGCCATCCCTCAAGCATTCATTTATTTGACAAGTGAATGTTGAGTACCTTGTGCAATAGAAAGTGCTCTGGCTCTGTAAGCAGAACTGAGTTCAAATTTTAGCCCCATTATTTAATAGTTCTGGGACACTGGGCAAGTAAGCTAGTTTCTTCCAGCCAATGTTTCTACACTGTCAATTGAACGTAAAAATATCTATCTTGGCCAGGCGCAGTGGCTCACGCCTGTGATCCCAGCACTTTGGTAGGCTGTGGCGGGCTGATCACAAGGTCAGAAGATCGACGCCATCCTGGATAACATGGTGAAACCCCATCTCTAGTAAAAATACACAAAATCAGCTGGGCGTGGTGGCACGCACCAATAGTCCCAGCTGCTAGGGAGGCTGAGGCAGGAGAATTGCTTGAACCCGGAAAGCGTTGGTTGCAGTGAGCCGAGATCGCGCCACTGAGCTCCAGTCTGGACAACACAGCGAGACTCCGTCTTAAAAAAAAATCCCAATTTGAATAGAATATTTTTGAGGTTAATGTATATAATACACAAATATATGTTAGTGTCAGTGCTCGACAGATGTTATTTTATCCATTTTATCTGCATTGTGGAGCTTAAAAATGTAATAAGACATATACTCCCTCTAGGAGAATCTTATACGCTAAAAGGGGAAACAGGTAAAATTACAGAAGCAATTATAATACCAAAAAAAGATAAATAATAAGAGCGATAAAGAGTACTATTGTGGATCAAATGAGAGATTACATCTTGTTAAAGGAGGAAAACAATGACCATGATAACAATGACCACTACCATAATAATGCCAATAACAATGTCAAACATTTGTTCAAGACTACTATATTTGAGCACTTTTCTAAACTCGGTATACATATTAACTGTTTTTATGCTCTTAACAATTCTGGGAGAAAAATGAGATGCAGAGATGATACTTAAACCAAGATGCACAAATGACACTTAACAGAGATGATACTTAACATGATGCTCAGAGTCTCTAGGAAGTGGCAAGGTAAGGATCCAAACCCAGGCATTGTGGTTCTACAACTCACATTCTACCAAGTGCCCAGGCTACTTTTCTAAGAAAAGCACACAGCAAATAAAGCCCAGGATTTGATGAAATAGCAATAAACAAGTTGAAAATCCCAACCATTGGCCAGGCTTGGTGGCTCATGCCTGTAATCCCAGCACTATGGAAGGCAGAGGTGGGCGGATCATGAGGTCAGGAGTTCGAGACTAGCCTGACCAACATGGTGAAACCCCATTTCTACTAAAAGTAGGAAAAAAAAAAAATTAGCCAGGCCTGGTGGCACACTCCTGTAATCCCAGCTACTCAGGAGGCCAAGGCAGGAGAATTGCTTGAACCCGGGAGGCAGAGGTTACACTGAGCGGGGATCGTGCCATTGCACTCCAGCCTAGGAGACAGAGCAAGACTCCATCTCAAAAAAAAAAAAAAAAAAAAATCCCAATGACTAAGTCAATGAATACTCATCTACTGTACCCCAATATTTTCTTATTTGATGATGAAGGCAAAACTCTTTCAATATAATTTAAGGGTTGCAATTATTCATTTATGTTTTAAAATCATTTCAACACCTTTCCATTAAAACTCAGTATTCATCTAGGAAACCCTGTAGACATTTCCTACAATGTAGGCAACAGGTACAACCATGTAATACTGTGGTTTGCAATGTGAAATTTCTCTGAAGCTTTAGTGCCTTCTAAAGGAAGAAACTTAAGAAAGAAAAAAAAATGAAGGGAAAGAAGGAGGGAGAATAAGAAGGAGGAAAAGAACAAGAAGAAGGAAAAGAAGAATTAGCAGAGGACTGTCAATCATCCAGTAGATGATAGGGTAATATGGTGGAAAACATCTGGAATACCTGAGGGGCTCTATCCTGTCTTTAAGGTGCCAACTGTGTGCTAAGCTTCCATGGTTCTCATTTGATGATCACTCACAATTGTATTAATTCAAAAACCCTAAAATCCTTACTGTATTACAATGTAATGTCTTCATATGGTACTTCATTATATAGATGTGATACCAAAATAATTTTTTCATGTATCTTTTGAGAGAGCCACATTTTACATTTACAGTTAAGGACTGAAGTCCCTGATAAGTGAAAAAAAAACATCCAAAACGCACACTGATTCTACAAAGCTGCTGATGCTCTTGGAACAAAATAGAAATTCCAGCCAAAGAACAGAATCGTCATCCTTTTCATCCACAGCCAGAGTCATTTTCTCTTTCACATTAAAATCTAATTTCTAGTGCTCCATGATATTAAATTTATAAAAATGAGTATAAAATATTTTAAATTTATCATGTACCTACATTAAAAGGACAATTGCAGGAAGAGCATTCTCATCTCCCACTTTCAAAAAAGTGATCATTTAGTTAAAACAACTTCCTATGAAATAATGTAAGATAACATATAAATTGACTACCTTTAACAATTCTAAATGAATCAAAAATGAAAAGATTTTTTCTTGATTTCTGAGAGACTGAAATTTAAAATATTAGGTGTGATTGTTTAAAAACCAAGAAAGTAGTTTAATCGTGTATCTGTTTGACTATCACAACTTACCTTCATTATGGGAGTGCATTAAAATTGGTTTGATTACTGGATTTGTCAATTATACAGTCAATACCAATCGATGAAAATTAATCACTTAGATACCATGGCATAAATAAAAATTCCTTTTTCAAATAATTATCACAATTTTAAGATTATTCTTCCATATGTGGCAATAAATCATGCAAATATTGAAATAATTTGGAATATTAAAGAAATTAAGATTTCCTAGATTAAAATTAAGGGGTAAGAAGGATGATTATTACTATTACTAAAAGTACATTAAATTATATGTAAACATACTCTTAACACAACATCCCAACACTCAACCATGATCCCTAATATACAGAATTGACTCAGGGCTTTCTGAGTAAATACTAGAGTATCTAGTAAAGAATAAAATATTACAATAACATTCTGAAATAAATACTAAGTTAAATGAGATGCTACTTTTATCTTGAACTTATTTTGATTCATTTGAATAAATTCTTATAGAGAAAAAGCATTTGGGAACTGTTTCTAGAAAACTACAGAGTGAAAATATTTAGTATTTAAAGATAAGCCTATTGTTTAAAATTTTTTCTGGTATTATTATTATTATTGTAACTGCAAACTATTGGTCTATGTCATGTCAATAAATACTTAAGGAGCAATTAGATGTGAAGGCTTTTTTTTTTTTTTTTTCCTAAATCTAATAAGTATCATTTCTTTTTACTCCACTAGAGGGTAGTCTCTCAAAACTGGGGTTGGAGTTATGACTAGCCTGCTTTTGACCTGTTGATATATTAATCTTCATGTTCCATTCTCCTCAACAAGATGTTTCTTTAGTATACTAATTAAGGTTGTAAAACATGCATTCTTAAAACTGCTTTTTGATTTTTTCATAGATGTTCTTTGAGAAATATGCACTGCTATGTGTTCCTGTGTTTTCCAAATTTCTGGTAATTAATAAAAATGTTTTACATATATGGCTTATATAGTATATTTTCCTGGGAAATATCCTCTCAGAGTTAATAGGCCTAAGAACAAAGATAAATAATTTTTTTATAATTTAGCTTATTACAATTGAATTATTTCCCCAGAGTGGCAAAAAATATATCCTAAATACACACACACACACAGATATACAAACACACCTACACATGTACCCATTCATATGTAGCTCCTAGATTGATTACATCATTAAGGAGAAGTCAGTGAGTATAATTAGAAATACATATTTTTAAAAAGTACCCCCTCAAATGCCAATGTTGTGAATTACAGAGAGGCAAATATATGTTTTATTTTAAAAATCTGGTCAATCCAGACAAGAAATGTCATTGCTAAAAAAAAAAGTGTTATTGAACACCAAGCACATATGCTAAATTAAGTAGGATCTATAGAGAACCAAATGCCACTCAAAACAGTTGCAAGCTTCTCTTCTTAAATAATACAGTCATTGCTGAACTTCACAGAGACAGAGTTGGAGGTGTGAGTCTCTACGACGTGTTTTTAATATTTGGGAAATCCTTATCAGTAGTGTGTCCTGCCTATTTGCAGACTGAAAACATTGTTTCTCTGAATGACTGATAACCTCAAATTGAGAAAACTTGTCAAAAAATTCCCAACATTCCTCCAGAAAGGGGGGAAAAAAATAAGGAAAATGATACCTAGGAAAATATGCAAGCCTGTTACATTTATTTGTATCCTAAGCAGCAGTGTCATAGAACAGACAGTTTGTTTCAGCCAACCAGACTGGAGCAGCTGCGAGTGCTACATCTTGGCAGTCTGAAGCGATTGGCTCCTCTCTGGGGAGTGGAGGGTGTTCAGTTATTAATGACCGCTGAGCAGGCAGCACCATGTCAGTGTGACAACTGATCGGGTGAACGATGCACCACTAACCACCATGGAAACAAGGAAAAATAAAGCCAGCTCACAGGATCTCTCTTCACTGGACTGAGAGCCTCAGCCTGCCGACTGAGAAAAAGAGTTCCCGGAAAAAGAAGGAATCCTGGCTGCAGCCTTCTGCCTTCCTTTATATTTTAAAATACAGAGATAAGATTACGTGCATGTGTGCATATCTATAGTACATATTTGTGTACACTTTGTTACATAGACACGCAAATGCACCTATTTACACCGGGCAAGAACACAACCATGTGATTATCTCAACCAAGGAACTGAGGAATCCAGCACGCAGGGACATCGGAGGTGGGCTAGAACTGAAACTGCTTTTTGAGGTAAGTTTAAAATACACATATCTTTTAAAATACGTTCTATTTCTTGTCACCTCGATGATCACGTTTTTACACCTAAATCCTCCTTTGATGTCTTCTTCTTGTCTGAATTCTAAGAGCATTTTTTCTTTTATTGCACTTTTGAGAAGAAATTCACATGCAAAACCCAGCTGGCTCTGTGTGTGCCTAGCTGTGTTTGTGAGATTCTCCAACATGCATTTTACTAGCTTGAATGCCCATCAGAGGATGTGAGTGGGAGAGAAAAAGCAGTGTTGGGGGGAGGAGAAAAAGGAGGGAGACAGAAGAGAAGGGAACACTGAGGGAGAAGAGAGGAGAGGGAGAGAGAAGGAGATGAGGAAGAGAGAAGGAGACAGAAAGACGAGAGGAGAGACACGGATGAGGGGGTGCAATTTTCCTTTTTCTTCACATTATTTGTAGTGAAAAATAGATCACACATTATTCTGTGTTTTGAAATCAACCCACCAAATGGGGCATTTTTATTCTCTCTCACCCAGTGGATGCAAATTAAGGCAAATGCTGTTGTATGTTAAGAGCTAAAATCACTAAGCAGAGTAGCGGATTGAGCATATCACAAACAGTTATTGAATTTCTGCCAGGCTACATCTTACGGACTGGGGTAAATGACTTCCCTTTAATAATATCCCCTCACTGGTCTGAAGGGATAGTGCAAATGTCTGATTGCTAATGCAGCTGGAACTGCCACACACTAGGTAAAAGGATCCCATGAACCAGAAGAGTTCTAATCTTCTTTGGTAATTAACAGGATCACAGCAGGATGGCTTTAAAGTACATTTCCTATTTAAGAAGATTGTTTGTTCTAACCAACTGCTATATTCCCTTTGCTGTTATTGAGCTGGATGGCTTAATTCGGCTCTAATTTATTCATTTTTAACAATATGTCCTTGTTTCTGTGCCTCTAATTTCAGTGAAAGCAGGCTATGAATATGAGTAGAACCTTCCTAATTTAGTGATAAGGGGATAATGTGAAAACAAAAAGAGAAGTAAAGGTTCAAAATATCTACCTAGAATATACTGTGCTCTGGTACCATAAATATTACTGATATATTTCTCATCTTTAGTTTCAGAAGCAATGCCTCTGAGACAGAATTACTCTCAGTAAACTCTATGAGCATCCATGTATCGATGATTCATGGAATTCATTGTGGGTTAATTTTTACTTCCAATCTTGTAAAGGGAAGCCAGCTACTTAGACTATGCTTTCAAACAGACAACATCAATTGAGGATATTCATGGAAACATTCACTGCCCTCTTTACTGGGTCCTGGAAAGACAGTAAAAGAAACCTAGCATTTGTATTTCATCTTCTGGAGCTCTCTCCTGCCTTCTTTTAGTTCAACTAACCACATAGTTAACAGAGTCAGCTTCTTTGAAACTGTGGGTTATTTTTTTCCACAACTGTGATTTCAGAGCTATTATTGGTTTTCTAGTTTGTAATATAAGCCAAAGCAAAAAGACAATAACCAGCCACTTAGATCCTGCCACTTTCCCATAAATGTGTCAAAAAATGAGTCAGTTTACAATATGTAATATAAGAAGTTAATTAATTCCAGTGACCTTTGTAAATGATGACAATAAAGCAGCTCTGACAATATGTCAGTGGCTTCGATTTTCTCTCTGTAAAATGAACAAGTTTAAGAAGAGGGTTCCTGCTCAGAGAGAAAAATGAAAGGTGCTGAAGCATCAGCTTGCAATATTGGCAGCTTTGCTCACTCTGCCTCAAACGCCACATGCACTATAAAAAAAAATGATTTATAACAAAAAGGAAAAGGTGTTTTATTTGCTTTTCTGCTATTAAAAGTGCTGCTTTTGAAACAGACCAGATCTGATATTCTGAGGTACCTCCTAAGTTCCTAACCAAGAGGAAAAGAAGTAGATACTCAACCCTCTGATTTCAAACTCCCATATAATGTAGCATTGCAGTATTGATTTCAGTTTCTCTTAGACCTTTTCCAGGGAAAGTTTGCATGACAGACACACATTCTTAAATCTAACCCGCCTTATTTTAAAATTGCAATCGATGACACCTAAGAACAGTGGATTCACTGTTTAACCATAGTAAAGCTCACATACATATTTTGTGGATTACAGAGATCAGTAATGTGCCCACTTGAGTCTGAGAAATACCAACACTCCAGGCCCTCAGTGTTGTCACTCAGTGTGTGCCAGTGAGTTTGGTGATTTGATCAGCACCTACGAATGCCAGATGATGGACATATGTGTATGCCTGGAAGACTTAACCATAGTCTCCCCAAATCATGTAACTATACCAGAAATAGCAGCTTCCTGGCAAGACAAGCTTCAAAGGACCATTTTTTTCCAGGGTGTCGCTTGTCACAGGCAACATGCTGAGTTAGAATGCTGATGAGTAGGTGGAATTTTTTATTTGGAGGTGGTTGTTCTTGTTATTAATGGCTAAATAAACAGTGCTACCAGACTTCTAGGCCAGTAATTCAGTGATCTATGAAAAAGGTGATCAACTTATGATACACTAACTATATTTCACTATTTCTTTGTTCTTTTTTTTTTTTTTAACATCTTTTGCTTTTGCCATATGATGGGTTTGATGTTTCACTCTTCCTCCCCAGTCTGAATTTTTTTGGGTGTAACATTCCTATGTAACATGGCACTTGGTATTTATTACAACCTAAGTTGATCAGAAAGCTTTATAAACTGGATTTAAAAAAAAAAAAAAAACTTACCTAAGTTAAAGGTTATTACTTAATTAGCAGCCCCTGAAAATGGGCATAGGTGAGGTATCTGTTGGTGAATCTGAAGGAGATCATTAAAAGAAAGCTAATAGCAGGCTAAAAAATGAGTTCTTTCTTCTAGTCTCAATAAGGATGCTCCTCTAAAATGATTTAAAATAATGTGGCTCCAGCCAGTCTGAAGAAACACTAGACATGTGTACAGCCCACTAAAATGTTCCATGTAGACCTGGTTCTGAGAGTTTAACTACTTATGTATCATTGTTTGGCACATGAAACTAAATAAATCAGGTAAACTCTAGGGAAAACATCAGTACATCTTGTCCGTGCTGTCAAAGATAAAGCTGTCTGATATTGGCTATGCAATGAGTACTTAGGAAAGCTTCACTGTGTAACAACTGAACATAGCTCCTGCTCAGGGAACTCCTCCCCTCTCCTTCTGAAAAAGTGATGTCTTGTTAGACAGCTACGAAGTCACTAGTAAAACATGATAACAATTATTTCTTTAGCCACAATGTGAAAGGAAAGGAAGTCAAATTCTAATATAAATACAGTAGCTGGTGCCAGAGGATGGGAAAAAGGAAGAGGGATAAATCAGAATGTTTTTCTAACTTGTTGAAAGGAATCGAAGGTCTCAATAGATGCTATTTAGAGGTCATTAAATACAGGATTAACAAGGAAGACTTAATGCCCATCTCAAATCTTTCTGAAGAAGTACAGTACCTACAGGGTTATCTACTATATTTGCATAATTGTCAAGTTTGTATACACCTGCTTTCTATTATGTTAATTCATCTTTAGGCCATAATAAGGGAAGAATTATCTATGGTGTCATTAATAAAAACACATTACACAGCTTCAGTATATGGGAAATATAGAAGGGAGACATGCTTTCATAGAATAGAATTTTTGAATTGAAAGAGACATTTGTAGCTAGTCTAATATGTTCATTTGATAGGTGAAAAAAACTGAGGCTGAAAGGGTTTGAAATCATTATAATATAATATACTGTACTTTGTATTCACCCAGCTATTGACTGGAGAGGCCCAGGTTAGAACTCCTTACAATACTTCCTCCAGCATTCCATTAAAATTCTGCCTCCTTAGTCTTTCACATATAATGTTTTCTCAAAAAACTATCTGAAAAAAATCCCTCCAGACTCACAGATATGTGCAAAAAAGAGAAATATTTATTCAGATAATCAAGCATTCTAAAAGCAAAAGCCAATATTCAATAACAGAAGCAGCAATGATTTATTAAGTATATAACACCCAAATATTTCAAAACCGTAATTCATCTTTTGAATGTGGTTTACTATATTCTGTAAAGAGTCATAAAAATTAGAGTTTTGCCCTGTTTTTAAAACATGTTAATAATAATAATGCCACTATCCTTCACTTACAGAGACTCAGCTATTGATCATCCACTATAAGTTTTAAGGTTTTCCAAGAATTCTGAAAAGCCTCTCCACATCTGTTTTTACTTGGGTTCACTGTAAATAATTTAAAGCACTTAACATGTGCCTTATTTTTTTATATACAGTGTCCATTCTCAAGATCCATGCTTTGCTTATACATCTCATTGGAAAACAATAAACATCAGGATAGCAATCCCTCTCCTTCTCTCCCTCCCCTACTCCATCCCAACTTACTTTCTGATTTCTAGAGTCAGAGTGGGAGCTCCAGTAGGCAATGACATCTCCTTAGTATCACAATCCTCTTCTTTTCTTTTGGGCAAATTTCTCTCTGTTTTTAAATGTGCTCTCCAAATTTTGCTTAACATAATAGTAATTAATTGACTCAACTTGTGAGAAGGATACAAAATATAAATACAATAATTGTGAATATTTATTTAAAGCTCTACCATTTACAGAGCAATTTTTCAACAATTACTTTGCTCCTTAAAACGATCTGGTGAAGTAGGGTAGATATGATGATGATGAAAATCTTTAAGACAGGAGAATGAGGTTCTGTAAGGTTAGAGACTTGCTAACATGTTGAGGTGCAAGGGTCTCTGCTCTGCCTCCAGAGAGCAGAAGAAAATATGGGTGCAGCACTGGTCCCTGGCATTTCTGAAGTTAGTAATAAATGTCAGTTCCCTTTTTATTGAACTTCCACTCTAGATCTTACCCTTCCAAAAACTATGTTTTTGTACCATATCTGGATAGATTTTTGCAAATTAAAATCTTTATTTCTTAAATCACAGCTATTGCTATGCCTGAGTTAAATTTAAAAAAAAAAAAAAAAAAAAAAACCCACATCTATTCTTGGAGAAAAAGACTGTATGTTGTTCTACCTACTCATCTATATGTTTGTCTGACAGCATTAGCACTTTGATAAACAGATACTTGGCAAAGGTCTCAAAAACTGGATAAAATGAGATGAGTAAATTATTTAGGGATTTTCCAGGTTACTAAAAATTATGAACAAAGTCTCCAAAGCCACTTAAGAACCCCCAATGGATCAAGTGTCAACATAAAAGCAACTTCTTTAGCATCTCCTTTCTGGTTTGTCTTGGAGAGAAAATGACACACTAAATAAGATAAAAATGTTAGTTAATTTGAAAGTAAACTGGTATATTTGTAAACTACTAAAGTCAAAATGCCAGTAAACTTACATACATTATTCTGTGAGCCCTTTCTAGGGGAGATTTTGTCTGTCAAAAGTCATACAGACCTTGAAATGAATAAAAATCCCTTTAAAACATTCTAAAGTTTGTCATTTCACGCTTTATTTCCAGGAAGTGAAGCATTCCACAGATAATCAGCTACTCTACTCAGGGAAGGAGTTTAAACGTCACCACTTTTTGCATGTCTGCATAAAAAAGGCCCACTGAATCAGTTAAAGGTTAACATCAATAGGCAACATTCTCTATTTCCAAAGGCCTGAAGCTCCTGGGATCTAAATTCCTGAGGAACAATGGAAGAGGCACTGTTTCCCACTTGGTACAAAACAGGACTTGAGGAATGGCAGAATGTGTTCTTCCGGGATTAAGGCCCGGAAGGTGAAGCTTGGGACTCACAACACTTAAAGGTGACATGAATAATAGTAGATATTTTAACTATAGAAGACATTTAAGAGACTTTGTTTTCACTGTGGTAAACAGGTTTGATTTGGACTTATAACTTTTTTCAAAAATTATCAAATTAATAATGACTACAATGAAATAAAGGCAAATATTTTAGTGGATTCATTCCCTGGGGTAACATTTGTTCTATAATTTATGGTCTCATAATGTTGAGAGATCAAAGTATTTAAATAACATTGTCAACTAACTTGCAGCTTACCTTTCTTAAGGAAAAAAAAATGTTAAAAACAGATGTATTTTTCAAACATACAATTCATGTTGATTTTTATGTCATTAGACTGTTTACCGTATCGCTATATTTATATGCCTCCAAAATATGGAGTTTTAATGGGGTCTAAGTTTAATTCTATTTTTATCAAAACTCAGTCACTTAGAAATACCAAACACTGAACATGTTCTACAAAAAGTATTCAACATCTGTAGAATACGTGGAACCACAATGACCTTTATTGAAATTTCAATAGTTGCAGGAAATAATTTAAATATATATCTATACAGATATTTTGATTTCTACAAAGGCCAAGGGGTTAATGGTCTTATACTGCAGGTGCCCAAGGCATTGAGAACAAAAAAGATACAGCAAGTGAAAAGAGAATTGAGTCTAGGTCACAATGCTATAGAATTGAAAAGAAAGTGCAACAGAATAGAATGGAAAGAGCAAAACAAGGTGACTGCCATATATGAAAGATAAACATACTCTAAGAACATATAAACTTCTATTCATAGTCATTCTTGAATGAAAAATATATAAAATGCCATTATAAGATACAAACTTCATCCAAGTCAATTTGTTGTGTGACTAGCTGAACTGACTCACTTACCAAACACATAGTTTATGTTTGTTCCTCATATTGTCATTTATTACCCACATATATTTTACACAAACACTACAGTTGTTTACAGAGTGTCATAAGCTGATGTTCAGCTAACTTTTTAAAATCAGTGAGGCATTTTCCAAACCACCATTTCCTTGATCAATTACTTTTTAATGAGGAAGCAAAATTTATGTAAATATCAAAGTCTCATTTTTATATTTAGGCTATAAATTATACCGTAATATGCTGCTGTTGGGCAAAATAATCAAAGTAATGAAGAATTAAAACAAATGTTATGACATAAATTAATGTAAGCAGAGACCTTATACATTCAAACCACATCATCTCTCTTAGACAGTCCTTTACTGGCTAAAGCAATGGTGGTAATACTGGCTGATCTCGTTTACAACATACAAGCATTTTCCGTGCCAAACACTGTGCTAAGCACTTAACATACATTTTCTCATTTAATCGTCATAACAACCGAACTAAGCACTATGTTTAACCCATTTTACCAATGTGAAAAATAAGGCTTAGAGAAGAAAAGTAACTTGCAATAACTAATGAAGAACAGGAAAAGGAACCTAGGTCAGTTAGCTCTCAAGAACATGCCTTTGTGCATGAGGCAACACTGCCTCCCGTTGGTACTGTCTAAATATAGCTAGTTTATATCGCCTTCCAAGAGTCAGATTCTCTATCAAAATACAAAAACTCCGTTTATAGTTTTATATCATGCATTCTGCTCATACTAGAATATTGTATCTTTGTAGAATTCTTCTTTTGTTTCTGAGAAAGGAGTGATGCTTTACTTATTTATATTTGAGTTTCGCGATCCACTAGATTAACTAAAATGATTTTTTGCAGTTCAGTTCACAGCCAGACCTGTGAACCAGCAGCTTATAACTTCCTCTCTCATCATTTTTCCATCAAGTGGAAGTCAACATACTTCTTTACCTGAGGTCACGCAGTATAAGTGACACGAAAGAAAAATGCAAAACTTAGCTCGTTGGCCTCAAATTTCATTATTTATAATAAGGTGTCCTTGTATCTAGTTCCAAATTTTGGACACTTTTTCCCCCTCATGCATTCTCTTTTAAATGATGAACATGAAAATAGTCTGAATACAATTTCATTGCTACTATGAGCATCAATTTTCAATGAAATTCATCAATCTTCCTTAGTATGCATAAGCTTCTAACCCTGCAAGGTTAACTGATGAAAGCTGTAACTTGCTTTTCAAACTGAGGATGCTGAGCCAAACCTAAAACTTTAGTAGAAGCGTTCTATACTAGCTGTTAGTAAAACTTCAGCATTTCTTGCTGTGTCACCTCCTGAAAAGACTATCAGGGGAGTCCTTCGACTTGACTGTCCTACGAAACAAAATCTGAATGTAAAATTAAAGCAAAAATGTTGTTGAGGATTCCTCCAGTGATTAAAAATGGAGTTTAGAGAGCTCACATCAACATATATTTTCTGTTCAAAATGAAGATTTTTTTTGAAAATTATAAGCAATTAGACAACTGAAAAAATAAATTCAATTTTGAGGTGATAAAAGGTTAAAGTACTGTGAATCATGAATAACTTAACATATAAGAAATAAAGAAGGATATGTATAATTTTAAATTAAACTTTTGGGGTTTTTTTCCTGCTACTTCTTATATACAACAAAGACAAGGAAGAGGAGGAGAAAGAGAAAGAAGAGGAAGATGTTGGGCAACATTTATTTAACATGCTCCACAGCCTGGAACCTGGGTAAGCTCTTTGTTCACCTCTTCTCATTTCACTTTGGTTCCATGAGGGAACTGAGGCTTGAAATGGAGAAGCATTTGCCCACCTTCGCTCAGTGGAAAGGTCCTGATTTGAATCCTGAATGTCTGACTCTGAAGCCCATGTTATTGTGTCTTCCTTAGCATATATTTCTCTCTTTTTAAAATTTCAATAGGTTTTTGGGAAACAGATGGTGTCTGGTTATATGAATAAATTATTTAGAGGTGATTTCTGAGGTTTTGGTGCACCCATCACCCAAGCAGTGTACACTGTACCCAATGCCTTATCATAGATTTCTTAGAATAAGCATAATATATTAATCCTTAGAGAAGCATTTGACTTTTTATGCAGAAGCATCTAACAACAGGCTCTTTCTACAGTTTGAAACTTCTCAGCCAAGATGAGGAGTATATATATAAGAATATGCTCAAACTTTATATATAATAAAAAATAATAATATATTAAAATATTTATAACATATATAGATTTAAAATAAACATAATAAATGCATCAAACTTTCCAGTTTTACCACATGGTGCAACTTGATTAGTATAATATTATTTCATAAATAATATAATGATAATGAACACAATATAATTCAACTAATCTAGAAGTATTACTTGTGGATTTTCTACTTAAACATTCTTATTAATCTGTGTAATTTTAGAAGTGTAATGTATGTAAAAATATCATGGTTGAATTCCAGGAGGATTTATGAACATCTAAGATCTTTATCATTTCTTAGGGAATGGAAATCACTAATGAAATAAGGAAAGTTTTCTTGATCATAAATATCTTGCAAATTGAACAAGTATAACAATGTTTTAACCTTATTCTTTTGACCCTGAATATTGCTCACCAGATTTGAAAATATTTGAAAACTTTTAAATATCTTTCTATATTTTGTAAAGATGATGAACATTTATAAGTTTAAAATTCCCCCATGAAGAGTTTTTCCTGTCCAGAATGGTAACTCCTCCTCCTTGATCACCACATTCTGCCTCCCCCCCTGCTAGTAGTATACCAAATTCTCAACCCCATTTAAGCATGATGCTTTCTTTTCACATCATCATATTTAGTTTTTAAGCAATGTGCTGCTCTGGATTTTACTTGATAGAGACTTTTATGTCTTTGAAAGAAGAAATATTCTAAGATAATATCTTACCACTTATTTATTTAGATGTTTTATCTCATGGTCATTTAATCAACGACCATGATACAGATACATCCCTAGTCATTGAACAGAACCTTGACATACTGATAAGGAATAATGTCTATATGATACAGCAAGTAGAATCATGTATTTGTATCTGTGATGATGTACTGCCAAACTCACTTGGGTACTTTTAATGTGTGATCTCAGAATCTGTAAGAATAACACCTAAGAATCCATATTTATTTTCTGCACAAAGTTACAAAATTATTGGGTAAAGATTCAAGTCTTTTTTCTTTGTCCACTGTCTACCATTTTTGTTTTAGATTTAGTGAAAAAAAAAATTACTTGAGACAATCAATTGCTTGAATTAATATAGAATATACATAGGTACAACAGGTACAATAGGTATACTGTCTTGTATAATTCCTGAGAAATATACAAGAAAAATAACAGGTTAAATAGGTATATTGTCTTGTATCTTTCCTGAGAAGACTGAGAAGAGGGTATAGCTAAATGAGTTAGGGGTTTGATTTTAAGGGATCTGACTGGGACATTCAAAGTAAATGACCTCAGTTAATATGTAATAATGTAAGGCTATGGTAAACATAGTTCCTATCTCTACTGTCCCTAATCTAAAAAGGTATACCATCCACAGTCATTTCTTGGCAGTCAGGTGATATCTCTAGGGAACTAGGTTATGTATCCTTAGGAGAAACATCTACCAAAAATGGACAAACCTCTTCTGCCCACATGTTCATGAACTCCAATTTTCATACACTATATCTCATTCCATATGGAACTCAAATGAGGGTCACCCAGAAACTGCCACCAATATGATTAATGAGTAAACTCTATACTGCCCGTCAATTTCTTTTAAAACAAAATGAGTCAGAATATAACAGAATCCCTATATTGGGACAGATTTTACAGATTTTAGGTCACTTGTTAAGTGACTTAAAGATATAATTAGAACCCAAACCAGGTGACTCAATCCTTGCCCAGTGGGTATTTCATAGCACATTAACTATAATCACAGTTTTTAAAAGTTTGGACCATATGCTTCTGTCAAATCATTCTTTTTTTTTAATGCATCATGATGACCAAAAGTTCCCAAACTCAACCCTATAGAGAAACTCAGCAGTGCCTTCTCTGTGAAGGGCCCATATTTGTGGAACCTCTTAGCTGCTGGAGTTTAGCAGAAGCACAATTCACTGTCATCCAGTCAGTTTTCAAGATGTCTCTTTAGATTGTCATTTTATTGACAGTAATGTGTTGCTGCTGCTTTGCATCAAGCATGTTAATTACTCGAGTCTGGAGTTTTGAATTTGTGACCTAAAGTGATTTTAGCTGAAGAGTTGTTTTGTTTTGTTTAAATCAGTCAAATAAAAGAGAGACAGAAAAATTACTAAGTGGAAGTCCACAAGTGTAATAAAAGAATGGAAACCATAGAAATAGCAAGTTTGAAGTATCATACCTATCTGAAAAATAAATAGAATAATCCAGCTTCTTCGTGCTATTCTATTAGAAACTTCCACTACTCTGGGACATTCCATCTCAAATGTAAAAAGTTCTGAAACCATTCTTCACTAATTCTCTTTGCTAGGGTCATAAAAGACTTTATAACACGTATAAAATAATTACAATCATTGAAATCATAAATCTCATTGTAAACTTATTTTTTTAAATGTTAATTAAAACCCCGTTGTAGACCATATAGTATAGGACAATGAGCACTCAAGTCCCCGAGTTGCTAAAATTTAAACATTGCTGACAATAACATGGTCTTTTTTAAGACTACAGTGTCCATTTATCATAGTGACTTCACAGTTTTTCTCTCTTATTTTTACTCTAATTAGCACTTTGTGTGAGTACTAATGAATGTTGTTAAATTTTAACAATGTCTATTAGGTTTTGTTTCCTACAAAATGTAACCATATCTCAAGTAATAACAACTGCATTACTCCATCATCTCAAAAAACCTGTATTAGCATTTCTGCAGATTTGTAGTTATAATTGTACTTCTTTATCTCTATCTATTCCATTGCCAACAAGCATACATGCATACGTTTATACTTTCACACACAGACCAATATTGGATTTTTTTTTACTATTTGACAACTACTAATAGTTTTTACCAGTTTATAAATATTTAACTAAGTCTAGCCACACTGATTTGCACCTGCTTTCCAAGGACTTTTTCTTCTTCTAAGACATGTCATATAACTAACATGGTAAATAGCATGATACATTTTTAGAATTATTTTCATAGAAATAACCAGAAAAATATCTACTAGGCAAGTAAAATTCTACAACCTTTTATGATAATCAGAGCCAAATGCCATTTAAGTAGTTTTATTTTGCTCTGCCATTTCTCCTGTTCCAATATTTTCACCTATAAGTTTAAGTTACAGCAAATTCTAATGAGTTCTTATCCGTATGATGACTTCTTAATATGATAGTGATTAACATTTAGTAACCACTTTGTATGTGTCTAGTGCAGAAGAACTTTTTTATACTATGAACTTTTAATGCATTATTTTATTTAATTTTTACAACATCCTTTTGAAGTAGGTACTATCATCACTCACCTTTCAGTAGATGAGGAAACAATGGCTGCAGCAGAGAAAGAACGAGAGTCCATGCCTGATCCCTTAATGACTAGGCTGCTTCTATTGAACACCATTCTGAGAGTACCAGAGAGCAAAATAAGGCATTTGTATTCTCAATTCAAGAAATCTTGGGGTTAAGTGTGGAACAAAATGAGAACACTGAAAAGTGATACTCCTGTAATATGAGTGTGGGGGAAAAGCTACATTTTCATTTTCACTTCCCCAGGTTAACACTCTTCATATCTCTGAGTTTGGGCCTATATACAGGCAACTTTTTCTAAAGGCAAATTGGAGGATGCCTTCCTTCATTCATGCATGCACATACATATGTGAGCCAATTTTGCAGGGTTGGAAATGATGAAATTCCAGGTACGGGAGAGACAAAAGTCGTATGATTTTTTTTCTCCCACTCCCTCTGTGTCCCATTTTCCTGTAAATGTTTAGTTCTGTAAACCACAGTTCAAATTTATTGTAGAGAATTAAATAATTTCTTTTGTTATCTGCTTTAGATTTACCAAACTCTACATTTTGTTCTAGAAATTGTTCTCACTTCTGTTGTTAATGCTCCATGTTTATATATTTTGATACGATGTCACTTTAGTAACTAATACCATCACTTCTATTGAAGCTGATATCAATTTTTTAAAAGGCTGAGGGGATATTGTACGTGAAACTACTTAGTATGGTTGCCAGCAATAGTTTTAAATCATGCTAAATAATAGAAAAGTCTCATCATTAATCCCCCTATCTAGTCTTTTTGATTCGGGGCTTTTTAGAACAGATGCTAAAGAAAAATTTTTAAGTGTGAAGAAAAGGAAAATTAATAGTAGGGATGAAAAGTGTGGAGGACTTGCCACAAGCGATGAGATGTTAATGTATTCACAATAACCTGTAAGCAACACTTCTTATCAAATTAAAAATATGCGTACAAATACCCAGGCTCTCATCCCATTGGAAGGAGGGCAAAATCTATTTAGAACGAGAGGGTCATGGCTTCTAGAACAGTGGGGAAGACAAGAAAAGCAGAGAAAAGGGGACAGTCCCTCACACAAAAGAGGAAGAAAAATAAAAAGAAGAGATGGGGAGTTCCAGATATAATAGCTCTTACAAGTGATTTGGGTCTAAAATGTGAATCTACTTGCCAGAATACAGACAGCAGAGGCATGACCACAGACTTTCAGAAGCTCCCAGTCCAGAGCTATTTCCTACTTTCTTACTAAAGATCTCATTGAGACAATAATATATTCTTAACTCTGTAGATTGCAAATATGTATTTTCAAATAAAATAACATAAAACCTTTGAAGTGCCCTTTAAAAATTAATTTGAGTCTTCTTCATGAAATAAACTAAAGAATTCTTATGTCAATAGGCTGAAAAATTACAAAACAGATGTCAAATAACCTTCATTTTGCAACAACATTCTATGAATCTGACATCTAGTTATTTCAGTTAACATCATGTATAAAACTCAGAAACTCAGAAATTATGCATCCAAAGAATGAAATACTAATTCATGACAGCATGTTGAAAAGAGCAGATGAGAACAATACACCACAACAGTACATAACTTGACCAAATGATACTGCATACATTCCCGTCTTCCATGACAACAGAAACTTACTGACTGACAATTTACATCTGGTTTGCTCCCTTATTCTGCAAATCACAAAAATGGGTTGCTGTAGCAACTGCCACATGCAATGTAGTTGACTGGGGGGAAAACACCCTTAGAGTACTTTCTAAGAAACAAATACAGCATGTATTTTTATTGTTCCTCCCACCCTAAATTGAACAAATCTCCTTACAGGTCTATTTTCTCATAGCTTTAAAAATGGGCTTGCTCTCTGTTGTTTGCATTTATATTATGTGTACTACCAATTTATGCAAATGGTGAAAAGAAAAAAATCCATAAAAATATAAAAGAAATAGATGAAGATTGCCTGAGTCACATGAATGTGATAGGGCCATTGTCTTTTATAGCATCCCCACTTTTTATCATTGACAGCTCTTTTAGCCAGTTTAACTCCACTGATGTATGTATCAAATCTATGAGTGACACTCCCAGGAATACACAACACCTCAATTCTTAATGTACCAGCAAGGGCAAGCTTATTTTTCTGAATCAGAAACAAGAGCCAGTACAAATAATAGGCAGCTAATTTTCTTAGAAACATATTTGTAATCTCACAGTAACACATAACATAGTCTGTTTCCAAGGATACAGCAGAGGACCTTAGAACATATAATACCAACACTGGTGCACATTAGAGCAGACAAATTAGCACGTACACGCTAAATAAAATGGGAGGAATACTTATCCTTTATCTACTTACTTCTCAATTGGGAACTAAGAGAAGAGGCAAAGTATCTAGAACATTTAAAGCCCTGAATGTGGAACAATTAAAGCTCAAGTCATTGTTCTCCTTATTTAAGGGCAAGTCTGACAACTTTTCAAACTCTACAGATATTGGTCTGATGTGGGAAGGTCAACTTTTTTGAAGGATCTTAACTATCATACCTTGAAATAATAGAAATCTCTTCTCTCTACAAACTCACTGGTTTTGAGAAACTATCTAAGAAAAACAGTCCAATTAAAAACACACAAATAAAATGAAAAACAGATATGTCTTCTACCATCACCATTTTTGCCACGTGGAAACTTCTCATGAACTTCTCACCACCTGAGGCTTGAGATAAAGACTCGCTATTTTGAGGCAGAGACTCAAATATAGCAAGAGTTGGTGAAGTATGGCTGCTAAGAGATGCGAGGCTTATAAATAACATTAAGATAACAGGAATTAAAGTCTCTGTGTGTGAAAATACTATATATCTAGGATGCAGATAAAAACTGCCCTTACAGATCTTGCAGGGAAAAGTGCCTGACTATACTGTATAAAACTTCTGCTGTACCATTTAATTATACTAAAAAAAAAAAAAAAAAAAAGAATCAACACACAAATAGATTTCTTTTCCACTGTTCTCAATTTAAAAATAATTGGAGAAATGTGTGTTTTGTTTAGAAGAGTAAAGAAAAACATTCATTCGATAGTACCACATAGAATCATTTGCTTAATAGCATTTCTAATATGTTATGCATTTATTCAATCTACTTCTTTCTATATTAAAATGCAAAAACAATTACTCTGGATATAAATCCTAGAAAACAATCAAAGTTTCTATTAAATCAGAGGAGAGACAGTTAAGCTGCAATGTGATTTGCAGATGCTCATGAATAGACAATACTTAGAATTTCTCTCACTAGAATGTGAAAAAGATAGATGGGAGAGATTCAGAAACTTCCTTCTTTCCCCTTTCCCTCTGTCTCTCCTCCCCTCCCTTCTTCCTTCTCTCTTTCCTCTCCCATTTTTTCTTTCTTTTTAGACAGACTTTGAAGAAAAGTTTTTATATAAAGTCTAATAATTTAAATTATATGGGCATGTAAAATTGCCTTATATTACAATGCCAGCCCTACAGCAGGTAGAAAATTCCTTTCAACATTCTATTGTAAATAGTTTATACTCAACTGATCAGTCACAGGGGAAAATGGGCAGATTCAACCTCCTACCTCCTTTGTCTCTAAAAAGAAATTCTGGGTAGTTCTTTGTATACTTATATTAAAGTCATTTCTGTTCAGTAAAAACTCAAAATAAGCATGTTGAAGAAGGGGCAATGGAACATGAAAGCAATGAATAAAAAGATTCTGTGCATGTATAACAAGCATTCTGTATTTTACCTTATCTGAACAGAATTTTAGAATCCACATGCTTTAATTGAGGCTCTAGTAAAGTAATAATCTCAAATATGAAATTCAATAGATGCGTCTCATGCTCTGATGAAATGTCAAGGCCACAGATTTGTTATTTCAGATCTAGTGAGCAATAATTTTGTTGGCTAATAATAAACTCCCAAAGATTTATTTGCAACATTTGGCTGTCCATTTCAAAGCTCTGGGTCATGCTGTAGTATTTCCAATTCTGCAGATAATATTATAGAATCTAGCATGCAAAGCTTAAACTTTTAAGTAAAGTTTACTAGTTTCATGTGTGCTGAATAGACTTTGAGTTCTTCTGCTGAAATTTTGCACCAAAAATATTTCCCAGTCTCAATTTGCAGCAGATATTGTCTTGATTTGCATCAACTTTTCCTTAACAAAGTATATATGGCTTTCTTTACAATACTGTTTTTTATTTTTATTTACAGAAGACAGTACACTGTCTTCTGTAAGTGTCACTTTCTAGTGCAGATTCTTAACCCCAGTCTAGGTTTGGAGACACAAACCTCACAGATTGTTGATGTATTCCATTTGATCACTATCAGTTGGCAACAAGTATAGTCTGGCCTGCAGCCACACCAAACCAATTTTCTCGAGGACTTTTCTCAGTACTTAACACTCAATTATATTAATGTTTATTATTGCTCTTTTTGTTGTTGATACAGCTTTTAACATTAATTCTGGAAGTCTGTGGCACTTCCAGTCATTAAGAATATATTATAACCTAAATTACATGATTTTCTATATTCTCCAAATACAAATGTCACAAATTTTAAGAAACTAATCTGTATATCTTATACCCCACTACACTGTGCTATTACTAGAGATATAATCTATAAAAATCAATTGAAAACCATATCTCAAGTACAAAAAGATATACAAACAAAACATATGTATCTCTATTAGTTTCCTCACAACAGATTTATTCAAGATATAATGAGAGTAGACATTGGATTAGAAGAACTTTTATGACTCTTTTTAAACAATCACAGATTTAATTATACCCTTCTAAACATACTAGTATTTTCAAGTGGGTTTTGTTACACTTTTGTAATCTCCTGAATTTAAAAAATGCACACATATTTATTTTTGTTTGCCAAGCTAATATCATCACTAAATAGTTCATGCATACAAACCACATGAGTCAATTCAGCATTCACCAGCAAAATAAGGGTCACAAATGAGTACCTTGTACAGCAAATTTGTTTAAATGTATAAGAAGCCGGGCGCGGTGGCTCAAGCCTGTAATCCCAGCACTTTGGGAGGCCGAGACGGGTGGATCACGAGGTCAGGAGATCGAGACCATCCTGGCTAACACGGTGAAACCCCGTCTCTACTAAAAAATACAAAAAACTAGCCGGGCGAGGTGGCGGGCGCCTGTAGTCCCAGATACTTGGGAGGCTGAGGCAGGAGAATGGCGTGAACCCGGGAGGCGGAGCTTGCAGTGAGCCGGGATCGCGCCACTGCACTCCAGCCTGGGTGACAGAGCGAGACTCCGTCTCAAAAAAAAATAAATAAATAAAATAAAAAATAAAATAAAAATAAATGTATAAGAAGATGGAAATTTATAATTAAAAGCAACCGATATTCATTCATTCAGTAGATATTTATTGAACTACAATGCCAGGCAATATTCTAGCTAGGCACTGGAGATATATAGCTCTGAACAAAACAGGAAACAACTTTAATAAAGCTAACATTCTAGTGGAGGTGATGGGAAGTAAGCAAAAAAGAAAAAGCAAATAATTTCTAGCAGTCTTAAATGATCTATAAAGAAAACAACATGGTGAGAGTGACTTTAGGGGGTATTTTAAGTAAGGTGGTTCATAAATAAGGTATTACCAAGAAGAATTAAAGACCAAATTAAAGAACAAACATCTAAAATGTGTAAAACATTTTCAGTACAATTTAACATGTTCATTGCCAGCTACATGATTAACTATTAACTTTTCTTCCATAATTAAGTTTTTTTTTTTTCAAGTCAGTTTTCCAAGGTTTGAGGGAGGCACATCTCATACAAGAGCAAGAAAACTCAATCATCATGCTTATGAACTACAAAAGCATCTTAATTAAGTTTTAAAAGAAAGTATCATTTAATTTCACTGTGCAAAGAAGACAAGTCAGCATTGTATAGGCTTACGCAGTGAGTTAGACATAGGTCTAGACATGAAGGTGTTTCATTAACAACTAGTAAGGGGGCAATCAAGTACATATATCTCTATAACACAAAGCTTTATTACACAGAGCTCATAGGAAGAGGCCTGAAAATGGAGTCGGGAACCTGGGACAGAGTTCAGGAGCCATCACTGATATGGCCCTCCAACTTTGACCACCTCATGAAATCTCTCTGAGTCATCACCTGTAAAGTGGGTATAACTGAACATGCTGACAGGATTGTTAGGGAATCAAGTAAGGTCATATGTGAAAATTGAACTGAATTTGTACATTATAGAACATTATGACTATGACTACTATTGCTGTTTTTATTGTTTGTTGCTATTGTTATATGATGGAAAACTGAAGTTAATGGAAAGGGCCCTTAAAAAGTCTTCAGGGGCCGGGCACAGTGGCTCATGCCTGTAATTCTAGCACTTTGGGAGGCCGAGGTGGGCGAATCACAAGGTCAGGAGTTCAAAACTGGCCTGACCAATATGGTGAAACTCTGTGTCTATTAAAATTACAAAAATTAGCGGAGCATGATGGTTCTGTAGTCCAAGCTACTCAGGAGGCTGAGGCAGGAGAATCGCTTGAACCCGGGAGGCGGAGGTTGCAGTGAGCTGAGAACATGCCACTGCACTCCAGCCTAGGCGACAGACCAAGACTCATAAAAGTATTTAGGATCTGAACTATACTAAAATATCAAAGATAAGTAAAGCATCAAAGATCCTATCTGTTCATGGATATTAGACATAAAGACATCATTAGGGAAAATGATATTCTTTTTCAAATCTCTGTTTCTCCATACAATTGAAAGGAATCAGTGATTAAAGAAAACCTCAAAAGTAGTATTTTTCAAGTCCATATCCATTATTGTGACAGTTTAATTATTTTTCTCATATATTTAGAATAGCTTTTATTCACTGAAATAATATATTATCTCCCAAGAAAACATAAACAATACCAGGAATGATCACAAATATAGATGATATCTTACTAACCAGTGTCATGAATTATAATTAACAGAAATCACGAAAAAGTTTTATTCCTTTCTTGGTTTGGATGTTCAGCTCCAAGCCCAAAATGGTTTAGTATAAACTTTACTACATAACTATCTTAAGGAAAATATATAAAAATGTAAGTATAAATATCAAAACATAAGTATAGAATACAAATAAAGTTCAAAGAATGTTTCTACATATATGAAATTAATGTTGAGTAATTCTTGATTGAGGAATGTGAAATATTTCTGCAACAGACATTAACTTGTAAATTAAATAACTTTCCTTCACAAAATAATTTTGTCTTGGCATATTGGAACAGTAAAGTTAGGTGAATGTCCCAGATCAAATTTAAGGGATTCCAGATCTTAAACCATGTGACTGTGAAGGGAAAATTTCTTCTCCTAACTCAGATCCAATAATCAAACACTATTCATTTTATCCATAAAAATGTATTAAATCCTACCCTGTGAAGCTGCTATAACATAATATAAAACCATTCGCTTTTCTGAGCCTAAACTGATAGTCTGAAACATAATCCTAAATTATCTGGAGGGAGTTTATCTACTAAGAAATTTTCCCAAACAGGTGATTTGTCACTTAGCTTTCACCTAATCCATATATGAGATGAACACCAGGCTTCTAAGAGGGAAATGAATGCAAATTTACAACCTTGTTTTTAAAGAACTCTTTTTCTCCATTAAGATTTAGAACTCCCTTTGGGGCTCTAGTCATGTATAATCTTGCAAAAAGACACTTAAATGGGCATACTGCCTATGCTCTTCATGGGTAGCAGTTGTTAAAAAAAAAAAAAAAAAAAAAAAGGAAAGGTAATGTTACCAAGGACCTATATTGTCCATTAACACAAAATTAAAATTTGGTATGCATCACAAATTGTACTGCTTTCCATTAAAAAAAAAAATAGCCCGTTAGTATTTTTACTTCCCCCCTTAACTTTAGCCCTCTCTATTCAACACATAAGGCAAAATGTATTTCTTTTATCATGTCACTTTTTTGGGGGATCTCATATTTCCCAAATGTTCATAACCTGGTATAGACTAGTTCTTAAATGCTACAGTAGTCAAATATTGTAAACACATTAAAGAAGAATTTACCATAAAGCCCATTATGAACAGAAATAATGTGATTCAACTCATGTTCCCCTGCGTCAATAGTAATTTTAAATGAATTCCAGGGGGTTGTAGGCAATAAAATTTTGCAAGGTCATCTACATAAAGTAGTCCTACATGATTAACTTCAAGTAGAGAGCTATTGTGAGGCTTCTATAAAGTTAAGTGACTGCACTACATCCTGGGTGACAAAAGGAGACCTTTTCTCTGAAAAATAAAAAATACATGTCTTAAAGTTAGGTGACAGGAAAAAGGAAATGCAAAACTTTATTTATTTATTTATTTATTTATTTATTTATTTATTTATTTTTGAGATGGAGTCTTGCTCTGTTGCCCAGGCTGGAGTGCAATGGTGCAATCTTGGCTCACTGCAAACTCTGCCTCCTGGGTTCCAGTGATTCTCCTGTCTCAGCCTCCCGAGTAGCTGGGTTTACAGGTGCACGCCACCACGCTCAGCTAATTTTTGTATTTTTAGTAGAGATGGGGTATTTTTAGCAGAGACTGGGTTTCGCCATGTTGGCTGGTATCAAACTCCTGACCTCAGGTAATCCGCCTGACTTGGCCTCCCAAAGTGCTGAGATTACAGGCGTGAGCCACCACTCCTGGCCCTGGAAATGCAAAACTTTAACCTGCATATAGTGCCTTTTATTTCCACACAGGAAATAAATAACAAAGCTTCACTGACCTAGCATGCATCAAGAACTTTAATTCTGTCTGTTACTTTGTACTTCAGAACCGTTCAACACAAGTGTCAGGGAAAGAGCTCATGTCCTATACAGTAATGAATTTCCACTCACAAAAAGATGCACAAACATGTACACAGCCATAAATATAGCCTCCACGTCTTGGTTGAAACTCAAAACCATAATTCAGGAAGTTTTTTCAAAGCTTACAGTGGAATGTTTGCTGTTCTATTTTTAAAACATTTTTGTATCCTCTGGACACAAATATACCAATGTTGTTTTAAGCAGATTGTCAAGAAGTTAAGCAGGAAACAAACCACAGAGCATGAGGGAAATCTGACACAGTTTTAAAAAGAAAATAGACAATACCATGCTTATAATAAGGAACTAAAAATACAGACCACATTGCTATTATCATCTCCCTTAGATATAGTAACAGAAAAGCACCATCAATCTCTGAACTCAGGGCAGGCATCAGCTGACACCAGCACACCCGAAAATGTGGTGCTATAATTTAGTCTTGTTTACTGCATTTGAAAAAATTCTTTCAAACTGAAGGAGCTCATTTTATTTCCTTTCTTCTGACACATGTTTTATCTTCCCAATTCTTAGTAAAAACGTAAAACACTGATATTAGTGTTGTTTTATTTAATAGCAATAAGAACCAATACTTTATTATATGCAGAATAGAAAGTGAACTACCCAGAAAGATTCTACTCTGAGTTCCTTCAGAGGAATGTTCCTCTCCAAAATATAATTTTAAGATTTCTGTAATAATATTGTAACTAAAATGTTCTTCATTCTCTATCTATACTATGTCACTGGACTCTTGTCCACAGGTTTCCTTATCTTCTTTACAACCCAATGACTTTCTATTCTGTCAAACTTAATCAAGGAATACAAATGAGATGAAAACCTTTTTGCTGCCATCCTTTTACAACATATCTATGCTTCAGAAACCATCCCTCCTGAGATTGATAAAAGCATTTACTTGTGGCAATCAATATAGAATAGTCCTTTTTGTTTGTTTGTTTTTGGTATACATGCCTATCATGTCCTCCCATGTAAAAGGCCCTAGAGAGTAGTGCTTGCAAGATCAGAGAGCATAAGGCAGCATACTCGTGTCTGTTCATAAAACCAACTCAAGCTGCAATCACTTCATTTCTTTCTTTTATTTTAACTGTACCAGGGAGATGGACCGTCTTCATGTGACATAAAGAATGGAGACTTCAAAGACAGGATAGTTGGCTACCTTCCAATTAAAAACATGACTTAAAAATTGTTTAAATTATCTGGATAATTATCCCAAATGTTTTCATCTGAAATGCAGGATAATTGGAAGTGGGTCTACATGAGATACACATTTCCCAAACCACTGTACTGTGAGGCACAATATAAGTCTTTCTCCTGTCATTCAAGCAGGGAAATCTCCACATCTTTGGAAATTCCTTTGAAGATAAAAGGATGACATCATTTACCAGTCATACTCTGCACTAGCTTCTCAAATAAACTGTAACTAAATGACAAGAATGAGCTTTTAGAGACCAAAACTGTCAAGAGAATAAGGAAAGCATATTTGGGCAGACTTTTCCTCTCAATTGGGCAGACTTTTCCTCTCAATTTATGTGAAATTGTAAAATACAAATTAAAGTCTAATTAAATGCCTCAAAACATCTATTGATAGAAATAAAGATTGGACAAAATGGGAAAATTTAATGCATAAATTTAGTCAATCACATTCAAAATTTTCTGAACAGAACTGAAGTCTCTCAGCGAACACATACACACAAATCTACACACACACATACATACACACACATTTTTGCCAGGAAAACAATGATTTCTCTTACAAGCATAAATAAATTACTCCCGACATACAAATTTTTCAAATTCTTCAAAATTTTCATGAATTTGTACAGGTCCTAAGAATCTTTTTATAGACTATTTCTGATGCGAGTGAAATTAGCACGTTGTCTATCTCTATGCCCTAGTTTGAGACACATAAAATGTGAATAAACATGAAAACCTAAAAATATCATAAAATATCTGAGTAAATCCTATCAGTATCCATCCAAGTACACTGTATTAAGTTTGCACAAAGAAATATATTGGCTGGGTGCAGTGGCTCACATCTGTAATCCCAGCACTTTGGGAGCTCAAGGAGGGCAGATCATGAGGTCAGGAGATGGAGACCAGCCTGGCCAACATTGTAAAACCCCATCTCTACTAAAAATACAAAACTTCGCTGGGCGTGGTGGCAGGTGCCTGTAATCCCAGCTACTCGGGAGGCTGAGGCAGGAGAATCATTTGAACCCGGGAGGTGGAGGGTGCAGTGAGCGAGCCGAGATTGTGCCATTGCACTCCAGCCTGGGCAACAGGGCGAGACTCCATCTCA